TCTCCCTTCAGGTGATGAAATTGCTAGAGTGAATGGTGATGATGTCACGATGCGATCAATTGAAGAGTCCTTATCTAAGCTAACCAATGAGGTGAATAAATGCTCTTTAATTAGAATAACTATACTGACGCACTTTAATTAAAATTATCATCATATTGCTTCAATTTGAAGTTTGAATTACCTAATGGCCCAATTATTTATAATGGTTAAGAATTAATTTATTATTATTATTATTTATTTATTTAATTATTTATTATTTTTCAGGTTATATTTGATGTATACAAGTGCACTCCTAGCTCTCCTCCAAGCCACACCCTCTCTCCCCCGCCCACTTATTTCTCCGACACAACCTCACCCACTCCTCCCTCCAGCTCCTTCTCTCCTCCTCCTCCTCTCATCCTGTTTTTAACCCTTGACACCAAAGAAGACGACCCACCTGATAAAGTAGGAGAGAATATATTTATATATTATTATTTTATTTATTTATTTATTTTATTTATTTTTAGGATATTTTATTTTGCTACCCATCCCGTGGGTGTCATCATTTTTTAGATCAAATAGTATCACTACGAGGAGCTTTTTTAACCCTCTCCAATCTAATACCGACCATCTCTTCATCTCTATCATATACTACCAGGTGGGGCGGGGCTAGTTATTAATAGCAAGAGTACTGGTTATTAATTTTTAGTTTGTTAGTTTGAAATTTGATTTTTAAATTTTTGAATTTTTGTAGTTCAGTGCTGGTAGTGGATGGTGAATTATGTTACATTTCAGGACATTTAGTTGGTAAAGAATTGTTACTAATAGCACAGACTGGAGTGAGGTATGTCATATAACTGTTAATAACTATTAATAACTACTAATAACCATTAATAAAATCGATAATTAAAAGATTTGTTTTTTGTTTCTCTTAGTAATTATCAAGTTGAGCTGGTACTTGATTCGTTAGTTGAATGTTTGGAATTAGTTTATGGAGACTTGATGAGGTAAAGTGGAACCATTTTTCGGAAAAAACCATGGGCTATAGTACAGAGATTTTTTCAGATTTTGGCCCATTTTTCAAATGGCCGTAACTCAAAAAATTGAAGTCGGAATCCGCTCAAACTTTCTACATAGCATAAGGACATCAATATGTATCAGAAAATGTAATAAAAATTGGGGGTGATTTTGGAGCCATTTTTTGGAAAAAACCATGGGCTATAGTACAGGGATTTTTTCAGATTTTGGCCCATTTTTTAAAATGGCCATAACTTGAAAAATTGAAGTCGGAATCCACTCAAACTTTCTTCATAGCATAAGGACATCAATATGTATCAGAAAATGTAATAAAAATTGGGGGTGATTTTGGAGCCATTTTTTAGAAAAAACCATGGGCTATAGTACAGGGATTTTTTCAGATTTTGGTCCATTTTTCAAATGGCTGTAACTTTAAAAATTGAAGTCAGAATCTGCTCAAACTTTCTACATAGCATAATTACATCAATATGTATCAGAAAATGTAATAAAAATCGGGGGTGATTTCGGAGCCATTTTTCGGAAAAAACCATGGGCTATAGTACAGGGATTTTTTCAGATTTTGGCCCATTTTTCAAATGGCCGTAACTTGAAAAATTGAAGTCAGAATCGCCTCAAACTTTCTTCATAGCATAAAGACATCAATATGTATCAGTAATAAAAATTAGGAGTCATTTTGGCGCCATTTTTTGGAAAAAAAAACCATGGGCTATATGCATATTTTGAAACTGAAATAATTGCAATCAAGATTGACTGTGATATATTACTTATATTATTTCTTGTGTTTGTAGTGCATTTAAAAGTGATTCCAGTACATTGTCTGGTGTGCTCTCCTCCATTTTATCTTTCTCTTCTTCCCCTTCACCTAATTCATTTCTATTTCCTGCCCTTCAACAATTACCACTGTCAATCAAAACTGCCGTAAGTGACACGCCCTCCACTAATTAATATTATTACTATTATTATCAAGTATTATTAATATCATTATTTTTTCATAATTTTTATGGCTTACCCGTTAATATTTCCCCATCACCCGTTCAATATTTACAGGCTCAAATCAGTTCCCACCTCAATCAAATAGACGCTGCTAGTTACTCTCCGCCCCTCCTCTCTCCCCCTGGCTCCTCCCCCTCTCTCCTCTCTCCTCTCGGCTCCTGTCTCTTCTACAAAGGATACTTAGTTTCCAGTCACCTCACCCTCCAGCTGCTGAGAGCCGCTCATCTTGTTTGTGTTTGTTTCGTAACTCGACAGCCGTTAACCGAGTTGACTTCAGTTTGGAAGCAAATATATTTAAAGGAGGAGAGTCAAAGTGATGCTAACTTATTTGTACTAGCTATTGGAATGGTACGTTATAGCTATTGGAATATAAATATTATTTGATAATACAACAAAATGGTGGATTTTTAAAATATTAAATGCATGTTTTTGTACATGTATGTTCACTCACTTTACTGTTTTAAATGTACATTGAAAATTATTATAAGAAAGAATTACATTGTGTATTTGTTTATTAGTATTTTACAG